TCTTTCATTAAAGTTTGTGTCACACTTCATGATAAAGAGTTTTTAGAACATTTGTTTTCATACTACATCAGGTAGTTCGTGTGACAAGTTAAATTTTTCACGTTCTGCTACGTATTTCATTTTACCAAGCATCAAGTAAAACATGTATACATGTTTTTTTACAAAAGCGAATTAAATATTTGATTTAAATATAAATAAAGTAAAAAGACAACATCAAAATGATGAAAAATCAAAAATTTAATTTATTTTTAGAAGAATTTTAACTTACAGGCTCCCTTATCTGAATTTATATTTTAAATTTCTAAATGAAGTTTTTCAATAAACTACTACAAATACCAGTGCTAACTGTAAAAAAAGATTTACAAAAATTTCACGAAACTTTCTTCATTTTTGACGAAACCATTTCCTGGTATATGCTCCGAGCAAATTTTTTTTCAAAAGTGACGACGACTATCGTTCTTTCTTCGAGGAAACAAATCTCGGGAAAGTAAAAGAAAAACTTAGTCATTCTAATTTCGACAAAAAAAATATAAATAAGCAAATAAGGAACCCTCGCATGAAATGTTCCTAATAATCACTTTATCGAAGATTTCATATAGTTGAATCAACGTCACCCAGACAACACAAGAATTGCAGATAGAAGTGAGAGATAAATTACACCTAGGCCCGAAGCAAGCTTCGAACCCATGATCTTTCTGGAATGAAACCAGCTTCTTGACCACTATACAGGCAGGTCGGCTTGTCCAATAATTTTACAGCCCAAATTTCAAGTTTCGTTTTTCTAGTTAACAATCTCCCAATGCACTACGATGAGATTTCAAGTTGAGAAAATATTTTAGTCATATATTTGAAACTTCACATTTCGTCACAAATCACGCGATTAAATGACGAAATGATCTACGAAAATCCAGAAATACAGCTGAACGATTATTGAATCGCCAAACATGAGATGTTTAGTTTTGAGAGAATATAGAACAATTTAATTTCTTACACAGAAATAAATAGGCTGGATAATGTTTTGATAAGAATGAGCCATTACGCGAGGTATCGTGAAGGCTTCTCTAAGAAAAATAGTCACCATTAAAATAAATAAAAAAATAATTATTGTTCAAAACCATGGAAGCAAAAAACTTATCAGGATTTTAAAACGGACAAATAGATTAAATGTGGAAACATTTATTAAGTTTTTTAAAAATCACCAATTTGACGAAATGTTTCTTTCAGATAAAAATCTTAATATTTAAATTAATATCCTTACTTTCTATATATTTTATGAAAAAGAAAATTTAGCATTGTAATAACCATATATATATATATATATATATACGTACATCACAAACCATTCTAATTTTTTTCAAAAAAAGTATGGCTTTTCTATCAATTGAAATTTTAAGATTTTTTTTTAAGTTTAAAATATACTGTAAAAAATAGCTTGTTAAGTTTGCAGAAAAAGACTGTCAACTGATGTGCCAGTGTAAAACCGTTTATTTCACAGGAAGATACTGTTATTGAAAAACGGAAGCTAAATTTTTAAGAAGAGAAGTACTGTTATTACAACGAACAAACTCAGTTCTTTTAATAAGGGTAAAACTGTATAAAATAACTGTGTCGGTATTGTGGTTCGTGCAAACGATTAGAATTTGCTAGACCAATAAACGCCAGAAATCAAACCCAGGTCACGTCACCTAGAAGCGAGTGCTCTGTCCCATTAGCCACGGCAGCTCTAGTGTTTGGTGTTAAAAACTGTAGTGGCCAACCCTAATAAAATTGTTTGACAGTTTAATCAAATTGGAGAATCACATGTATGTGAACGCGATTTAGCGATTTAGCGAAAATTTCAAAACTTGAATTTTAAATTCCGGAACTCTTTCATTTTTACTTTAAGTCTTCACTCTTGCTTTGAATTTTAGATTGCAGTGAAAATTTAATCATATTAAAAGTTTTGATTCGCGGAAGGCCGTAAATCAATGGTATTAAGAAACGCGGAATTTTGCGAAATTCGTGGACAAATCACATTCTCTGTTACGAGTTTTTAGACCTGGAAGGAGGATATGAAAAATCTGAATTCTGGGATACACCCGGATAACAATGAGATCTGATCTTTTATCATATAAATATCATACACAGCATAAAAAAATCTAGCCAAAGGAGTCCTAAACATTTTTGTTTTAAGATCATATTGCCTCTAAAATATCTGTTTTTTTGTGTATGTTTTCTGAACATGTTTAGTTGATTACAAGCATAGCAAATTAATACAGATATGTCTCAATTCATGAATTCCGAAGTGAACTCACGGAGAAAAAGTGTACAGACAAAACTACCAGAATTTGGTAACGTTTACCGGGTTTTTGGCTCTACACTGTTAGAATTTTTATTCTGAAATTATGTTAAAATAAGCGGTAGCAGTCTGTCCATCCGATTATCTGTAAAGATTACGATAAAGAACATTTTTTTTTACTTTTATGATTTTGAAACCGTTTACAAATAGCATGACTGTAAAACCATGAATACAAAACTATACGGTTTTTTAATATTCCTTTACCCTTCACAGCTAGCATGGTTTCAAAACCGTAAAAATAAATTTAACTGGACATAGAAGCTAGGCTTTCGTTATGTAATAGGCATTGGAGAGTGAAGAACACAAATTGGGGAGTGCAGGAAGGGAAAAACACTGGTGTCAGCGCTGAGAGACGAACTCCAGTTTAACCAGTCAAAAGACTGACAGATTAGCCATCTCGACTATAATATGTGCGCAGTTGTAAGGGACTAAGTCCCTTCATTAGGTGAGCTTAGTTGGTGCGATAAGATTCCGGCTGCTTTACTGTATTAGGTGGAAGTAGTTACTAAACGGTTTCGCCTCATGTTTACAGTTTAATTACCATCTTATTTTTAATTATTTGAGTAATTTGTTTAAACATGATAAAAAACAATTAAATAAATTATTATTTAACCATTTTTTCTGAGAAATTTCGGACAGTGTACGAGAACACCAGAAACACACGGTAATTTTTATCGAAACGAAATGATTCCTGTAAAATTAACAATTAAATATGGTTTCATAATCTGAGTTTTTCTATCAATTTTTTGAGGTCGGATCACATAGGTATTTTCTTGAGAAGCAAATCAATAGATTAAGAACTCCAGCGCAGTATAGACATCTAAAGAAAATCTTTTCTTTTAGTTCTACTTACTTTAGAAGTAAAACAAATACTAAGAAAAAAAGTTCCATAAAATGTTTTCTGAGATCATTGAAATAAGTTAAGAATATTTCTGAAAAAATGGGGAGAAAACTTAGGGAGCTAAAAGTGTTTTTCCCTCGCATTGCAGCCTTTTTTTTTTTTTTTTTTTTATTTTTTTGGTGCAGGTGTAAGCGTAATAAGGTGTTATGATTAAAAAGTTTTTTATGGTTTTATATTATTTATGGTTTTTTATGCTATTATAAGTGAAAGAACTGATGTATAAATATTTTTTTACATATAATGTTTTTATTGAGTTTCATCCAAGTTGAAATTTATTTGTCGATACAAATGTAATTAAATTTCCTTAATTTTATTAGAAATATTTTTCCCATTACATTCCCTACACTTCATTTCTACGTATGCAAAAATGTGTTTGTTAATTTAATCGTCCTTTCAAAATATTTTTGGAGATAATTTTAAGGTTTTGTTAGTGAAATATGTTGAATGAATTGCAAACTAAGACAAAAGTATGGTTAAAACCATCAGGATATGGTTCAATTAACCGTGTTTGTGGCTTTATTGGAACACGAAATGGCTCGGTAATTTCTACTGAAGCACTCTAGTACTGATTTCGGTAAAATTAACAATAAAATATTGTCTTATAGCATGTGATAAAATTTGATAAATATGAAATAATTTGTTATTTTTGTAATGATATCTAAGAGCATGTTATAAAAACCACTCATTCAGTTAAATTTACTTCTTTATTTTATATTTTTAACTAAATATGCTTTAATAATAAGCCATTATTACCACATACTTAGTGAGCATTATTAATACACTATTTGGAAGAAAGTGACGGGACACGACACTATAACGACATAAACCCATATTTATTAAAATTAATAGGAGGTAGGACCTCCTTTGGCTGTGATCACAGCTGCAATCTATCTGGGCATGCTTTCCACTAAATTAGTTTTTGTGGCAAGAGGAATTTCCTTCCAAATGTTTAACAGGAAGTTCCATAGTTCATGCTTGCTTTTGGTGAGTGGGGTGCAGGCCCTCAACCGACTGTCTAATTCATCCCAGAGATGTTCAATTGGGTTAAGATCAGGGTTCTGCGCCGGCCACTCCATGCGTTTAGCGTTGTTGTTCACATGCCAGTCAAGAGTCCTTCTGGCAACATGGGATCTTGCGTTGTAGTTTTGATTCAAGCAATCATCCATACCGTACGTTGCCCACAAGGTAGGAAGGACATGATTGTCGAGAATATCACAGTATCCATTGGCATTCATCATACCATCAACCTTCACCAGTGGGCCAGCACCATACCAGGAGAAACAGGCTCATACCATCAATATTCCTCCACCAAACTTTACAGTTGTTCCGTCACTTTCTTCCAGATAGTGTATATTTTGATCTTGCAAAGAAAATTGAACTATAATCTTGAAAACCAGAGCGGTAGAATTACAAATAAATGGTTTAAATACCATATATTTTGATTTTATTAAGCAGAGTTATGGTCTTTTTAAAACCATAAATATCATTACCAACAGTTTTGTAGTTTTTGAGAATTTCTGCTTTTAAGTTCAGAAATCAATCATTGTCAGCGCTTTCTAGAAAATTCTCGGTTCGGTGAACTATATTTAACTAAGGGATTATATTTAACTAAGAAACTTCATTGTAACTGATGCTTATTATCAGAATTTATGAAGAAGTGAGATACGAAATCAAACAACAGTTTGACTTTTTAAATTTCTCTTGGATTTTAGATTTTGTAGATACAAAAAAAAATTATAATCTATGATTTAATAGACTTACCACTTCCAGCTGTTTTAGTGGATATTGTTTCACTCCCATTTCCTCTTCCGGCACTGTTTGTTGCGACCAGAAAGCAGTAATATTTTGTCCCACATAACAAATCGTGCAATGTGTAAACTGTCCGTTCCCCTAGTTAAAGAAGTAATAAAATTACAATTTTCAGACATAATTAATTCTAGTTACATACACTGTCAAAATAACAAACAAAAAAAATGTCGTTTACCTGGAATTACAGTTTCTTGCCATAAAGTTCCATCACTGCGATGATGCAATATAAATCCTGAAATGAACAGTACATATACAAAACTACATTTCAACCATAATTCTTATAAAAATTTACTTGGATATATTTTTTCTGAATTTTAAGTTCCCAGAGCAATTGAAATTCAAATTTTTATTTTATTTAATATTATTTTTATTTTATTCAAAATATCTCGAATAACTTACTTATAAAATTTTTGTACTTATATTCTAAAATCTTTTCTTATCAACAAATAACTTAAAGATTGAAAATTCAAGCCATTCTTCGTAATTTTGGGAAAAAATAAATAAAATGGATGAAATCATGTAAAAACCGGTGTCTGCCAAGTAAAAAATCCCGAATCAAATTTCAGCAAAAAATAAAAAAAAAAATAAAAAACACTGTCATTCTGAATGCTAGTACTTTTTACATAAAATTTATTTTTAGAGTAAAATGTTATGGAACAAAAAGTCTGATGCGCCCTAACTTTCAAGGCGTTAAATTTGACAGATGGATTTTGCGGAGTTTTTGACTCAATGAATGCTGGATTTGAGATTCCAGTACTGCTTGCAGCAATTCGACTCTTTTTTTTGCAGTTAGAACTTGCATTAAATTAAATAATCAACATTTTTTTAACTATTTGGAATAAACGATTTGTAATAACTTGGAAATTACAACTATTTGAAATAAAATTAAAAAAAAAGGTATTTATTTGTAATTCATAGAATTTTTTACTTCGCTGCAATATCATTATAAAAGAGGTCATAATATTAATTAAGGCTACTTCGTAATATTGCATCGTTCGTGCCACATATAAAACCAGTCTGAAATATTTTTTTCGCAACTCGTATATGTATATTACGAGGGTTGTAAATTAAATAGTGGCAACTTAACCTTGAAACTCACGGAAGGGCGGGCATGCGCAAATTGGATATGGGAGCGGTGAGGTGGCACTGTTGTCGATGTGTAGAGTGCAAAAAAAAGTCGATTTGCTTATAAGGGTAGTTGTTGTGTGGCGTTAAAGTGAGGAGTTTCTTTTCCATCGCTCTAAAGCATGTTTTCAAAAGGTGATCAGCGGTCGTGGCTTACAATCGAGGTTGCCCGTGGAAAAATGCAACAGAATGCTATCGAGGATTAGTGGAAGCCTGTAGAGCAAATGTTTTACCGTATAGGACAGTAGCACGATGGGTTCAAGCATCTCGTCTTTTTTCGTCATTAAGCATTTTCACAACATGCTTTAGAGCGATGGAAACGAAACTCCTCACTTTAACGTAACGCAACAACTACCCTTCCAATCAAATCGACTGTTTTTTGCACTCTACACATCGACAACAGCGCCACCTCCCCCCACCCATACCCTATTTACGCATGCCCGCCCTTCTGTGAGTTTCAAGATTAAGTTGCCACTATTTAATTTACAACCCTCGTATTTCAACAAAAATCAATAATTATAAAGCTATTGATATTCGTTGTCAATATCAATATTAGTTCTAATTATATTTCACTTCCAGATTATTTATAACTCCGAAAAGTAATCTATTCCCAGATTCAAAAAAAGAAGGAGCTGATATAAAGTGTGAAAAAAATATAAAGCAAATAAAATTTTGATTCTATTGAATCAGCTATTTTGCTTCTTATTTCTAACTACCATAAAGACCAGAGAGGTAGCAAACGAATCCAAAGTTCATAAGAAGAACTCTAGATCAGAGTGCTTCGAGACTTTTGAAAACATTACTAGTAGCTTGAAGCTCTGAAAAACAAGATCGCCTCATATCTATTTTTTTTTTCAATTTAATAACTGTCGTTGAACTGCCGACCTAATTTTGACTTTACAACATCTATTGCTCAACTCTGTAGCCTTTTAACTTTGAACCCAATCCAGAAAACAAGGAAACTCCTCGATCTGCAGCCGAAGATGCATGATTTGTTATGGGAACATGGAGGACTTTGTGACCCGACATATTTAGCGTGCATCAGTTACCATTGTCATTATTAAAACAAACTATTCCTTAATACTAGCTTCTTAAATCGAGCATGAACTTTATTACAAACTACTTTCATTTTATGCTTGTTATATTTTTATTTACAATTATTCAACTTTTTCTTAAATGAGTTTAAGTCATTGTTCGACAAACTTCAAGTTTTCAGTTTTAAGTTTCAAGTTTCAAGTTTTGAACTTCAAGATCAGTTTTCTCCCAAAAAGTTATACTGTGACAAGTTTTATCCTTCAAAATAAATGTTAAAGTATCTAGTCAAATATTTGAAAATAACGGCATTTAAGAATATGGCATGGTTAAAAAAATAGCAAAATTGTAAAATTTTCGAATGAATTACCTGTTACAGGTGCATTTGGTATACTTCTGTATTCCCAAGTAATTTTTATAGAAGTTGACGTTGTATAATGATTCTTAATTATTGGTGGTAATGGTCTATCTGAAAAAACAAAGAGTTGGTCATTATATTTTAAAAATTAACACTGTAAGTTTTTTTTCATTAGATTTCTATGTAAAATACCCGTGTAAAAAATATTGATACACATTTTTGTTTAATCTATCAACATTCTTCAAGCTGGCATTTTAATCAAGACTAAGAAATTCGTTAATGAAACAAAAATTACAGTTTTTTTTAAGAGGCATGAATAAATTTGACGTGTTGCCTGTGGTTATTAAGAAATCAGGTATTACAGTGTACTCTAGATATCTCAAAGTTGAAGGGACGTTAAAAAATTTCAAGATAGTGAGCTTTCGAGATAACAAGTTCAGGACTAAATATGTTCTAAAAAGTAGAAAAATATAAAAATATATTCTAAGATAATACTCTAAAAGCTGGAGTCATGAAAAATAAAATTAACTAGTAATAAATATGAAGAAAATGATAGTTTACTATAAGTCTAAATACAACAATCATAATTTTATTTTTTAAAGTAAGACAAAAATAATTATGCATTAAATAGAAAATAATTTGTTTACAATAGACATACAAAGTCGTTTTACTGAAAAAAATTCATTTTATAATTCGAAACATATTCGACATAACAAGGTTCTGAGAAGAAACTCTTCTGCATATTAATTCAAATTAATATTAGATGGATATGTTATGTCAAGGGGAAAAATATTTTTTAACATAAAAAGGTTTTCAATATATAGAAGTTCGAGATATAGAGAGTATACTCTACATATTATTTTATTTAAAAAATTGCCAATATTATCAAAGGTGTAATTTTCTAATAGGTAATTTAAAATTCTAAGTCTAGAGCACTTCAGAATTTGGTGAAAAAAATTATTATTGAAATCAAGAAACTGATATTGAGAATTGAATTACTTCATTTATATACGTAAAATAATTCATAAAATATTTATTTGAACATTCATCGAAGCTATTTCTAATACGTATCCAATTAAAGGATTGAGCAATTGCCTTAGTCATTATACAAATATTCAAAAGATTTTGTGTTACGAGTGACTACATAGAGGAAATTATTGTTTCAGACACAACGCATTCAACAAATAATTGTTTCCTTTAATTAATCTGCCCCAAATGCGCGTAAAAAATTCCTTTTATTTTACTTTTTACAAGTGAAATACGCAAAATCGGACAAATATTTAGAGCAAAGACGCTTTAAATGTATCTCCAATTGTAGTTTGAAGCCTACCCAGCACCAGATTATAAGAATTTCATTCTAAAATTATGATAAAATAACAGACGTCATTCTGTCCATCCCATTAACCATAAAGTTTACGGTAACGGTACGGTACGGTACGGTTACGGTAATAAATCATGTAAAAATTATTTTTTGACGTTCATGTTTAAAATTAGAAGAAAAAAATTACATTGTAATCAATGTGACGTAATACCCATCAGAATTTGATGTTAAGAGACTCTAAACATTTTGCATTATTTTAATTTAATACCGAATCGAGAATTCATACATACTTTAAGGAGTGTAGTTAAATCTAAACACCACTAATTTATAAAGCTTACACCAATCTTAGATGAATTTAATCCATTCATAGTTTTCAACAGGATGGAGGATGTGTTGTCATATTCCAATGTTCCTTAAATTTTGGAAAGTAAAGGTAAATTATGATTTTTTTTTTGTGTTAGGAGTGACAGAAGACTACGCTGGACATATATTAACTCTATTAACAAAATATTTCTGAATATATGTTGTTGTTTTTCTTTCATTTTTGATCTAACATGGCGAATATCAAAGTGTCGCTAGGCTCAGATATCGATACCAGTACCAGCACACTTTAAAAAAATTAAATTACAAAATCTTAATGTGATAAAACATGTGATTACTAAAATACACATGTTACATACCAAAACATTAAACATATATATTTTCAAAGGATCTCGTAGAATGGCTATTTAACTTGTAAACTTCCGCACCAATTTATTAATTCCTGACAAACAAGTAAGATTTAATTAATGAATTTAAATTACTCACCAAACTGTAAGGTTCTTGCGGATATGATTTCAGATGGCGGACTAGCTCCTCTTTTGTTGAATGACTGAAGTATGAAGCTGTATTCCACATTTCGATTTAAATTACTTAGTTCGTAAAATTGTTCTGAATTTAAGCGTGCATTGTCAACGGGGACAAAAGTGAACGGTTCTTTGCTGGACACAAGTTTATAGCCGACATAAAATCCATCGATGCGAGATTCATCTTCTGAAGATGGCGGCACCTGCAGAACATTACATGTATTACAACTGAAGTTAGAATTGCATTGTAATAAATAATAATGATAATAATTATTTCTATTATGATGATTATCAGATTTATCGTTTTTAATAATTAAATTTTTACCATAAAAATATTCGTTTTTTTTAGTTATTGCAATTTAGTCTTTTTATTAATATATTCATAATTATCCTAAAAACGTGAATGCTACATAATTTTTTTCAGTATGTTGGCAATTTTCATCAACCATTGTATATTAATTATTATAACCATGCTTTAGATTAAGTTTCTATACTGTAAGTTTTTCAATTTTAAAAATTTACAATAAGTTTGATAAGATAAGTTATTTGTAGTTAACTGAAATAAATAACACGATGTGAAGATGCTGAAAATGCCATTTACTGGAATTGAATAGGATAAAAGTTTCACATTAGGTAATTACAATTTAATTTAAAATCTAATTTCTGTATTTTACATTTATTGAGTAGTAAACTTTCAGGCAAACATGTTTGATAGGTTGTATTTTATTTAAGAGTTATAACTCAAAATGTTTTAGCAAGTAATTGAAAAAATAATATATATTAGTATGTCTTTAAAACACAAAAAATAGTACACGTATCTAAAATAATGCTTCAATAGGGCATTTAAAGTTTCCAAAAATTTTACTATGGTGTGTCATCATGTACTATATTACTATCTTGTGTCATCATGTATTTTTAAGAAAGGAGTTTTCAAGTTTGAATAATTTCATATTTATTAGCTTTTTCATTTTTGGTAATTTTTTTAAGTCCAGGTTTAGTTACTTAATTTATTTTAATATTATTTTCTTTTGATTTTGTAAAAATTAGAATAAGCTTTTAGATTATTTAATCTGCAGGAAGAAAGCTATCAATTTATAATTAAATGTGTCAATGCGTGATTATATAGTATCCAAAAATATTCTAAAAGCCCAATATGCTTTTATTTCCCGTTGGGATAATATAAAAAAAGAAATATTTGAAAACTTTTATAATGAAAATTCAATTTTGATAGTTCTAAAAATTTGTTCAATATGCTTTTAAAAAACCATCTATATTGTTTACGCAAATTTCACTGCATATTTATTAGTTTATCTACATTATATAGAAGTTTTCATTATGCATTCATTATTTTAATTTCAGTACTGCTTTTTCAGTAGTTAAATTTTTTTGAAATGCGTTTAAGAAATTTTGCCTTTTTTGTCATTGAATAACACCACAGTTCTCTTTTCCAATTAATAGTACGTACATTAATAATCAATATTTTATATTTTATATTTTTTACATAGAACTTATAAATAAGGAAAATATAACTTTAAAAATTTTATTTCATGATTGCAAACATATGTATGAAATAAGATAATCATTCATAAAATATTTATTAGGTAAGATTTTCAGAGATAAAAATAGGTTTTAATTATTTTAAGGCAAGATATCCTTCTTTTTGATGAGCGAAACAACATAATTTATATTATTGAAATGACTTATAAATAAAAAAAATGATAAAATTACTGGTGTGACATTTTAAAGCAATTATTTTTAAATTTCAGAAATAATATTTCAATAATTATGTAATTAACCAATTAAATGTAATTGATCAGTGAATTGATATTTAACATGCAAAATGTAAAACTTGATTAAATATGAATTGAGTTAATGAAAACATTACCTGCCATGAGATGTTCATGCTGATTGAAGAAATGGCAGTAGCTTTTATTGAGTGTGGTGGTAATCTTGGAGCTATAAATCAAAAATTATCATAGAAAACAAGAAAAAAATTGAATCATAATTATGAAAAAATAAAACATCAACAGGTGAGTTGAAATAAAAATACAAGAAGTAAGAATGTTCAATTTTCTAAACATCAGACATGTAAATGTTTTGCCCAGGAAAGGCAATGATTCACATTAATAGATGCTTATTATTGAAAAACTGATAATATATGAGATGTGAAATATCCTAATTATACAAACAACAATCGTTACGAAATCTTAAAAAAAAACTGTGAATGCTTCTAAACACGTTATTACAGGGGAGCTGCCCCTAACAGCATACAACGATATGCCCGGGCATAGATTTTCATGCAGTTTTAATCCTGATGATGTGCCCAAACTCTATTAGAAATTTGACTCAACATTAACGCGATCATCTGTTATTTATAACGATTTTAAACTTGTGCAGTGTGCAAAAAAATGAACCACCCTGAATAACTTTAATCTAATGATATCTTCATGCTCTAGAGCACAATCTTAATGGCTCAAGAGGGTGACCTCAAATGTACTAATTAATAGGTGCAGGCGATATTTAAAGATACGAAATCAGACACAAAAACGTACTTTCTCTAAATAAACTTGCCTTATTTTCGACAGATTCAGATTTCTGACCCCATAAATACAATGGGTGGCCACAATCTGGGAAATATGGTCCCTATAGTTAGGTCAGCAGAGTGCTCCAAAGTTTGAACCCCTTAATGTTAACTTTACTTTTTGCATATTTTGCTATATCTCGAAACTTTTTTATGCAAATTGAAAAATTTTGTGCGCAATTATAAAATTCGTTTATTCAAAGATATTTCCTTAAAAAAATAACTTATAGTAAATATTTATCATTTTTTATTATTTTATTCAATAAGGGTCCAAAAAATTTAAATTTTTGTAAAATTTTTTGCATCTATTAAAATAATAATTTTTTTTTGGCGAAATACAAAATTAGAGCGAATTCGGTCAAATTGTTCCTGATAAATTAAATTTCAAAAAAGTCAGATTTTCAAAATTCGATTTCTCAGGAATCATTCAACTTATTTGTTCAATTTTTGTATCGTGTTGTTTTGTATCTATGTAAAGTTGCAATCTTTGAAATGATGCAAACAATTGTATATCTTACAATTCATTTTTTTTCACATACTAATAAATAATATAATAAATAATAATAAATAAGGATTAAAATTATATTTTGAAGAAAAAAAAATAGATTAAGATGTCATTTGAAAAAGTCAGTAGAGTTAGGAACAAAATGCTTTCCAGCTGTGAAATCCTCTTCCTCGAACTAGACAAGATCAAGTATTTGTATAAATGCAACAAAAATTCATTTTCCAGTGCTATTTATGGAATAAAAATTCAATGTTGCTTTCAAATAAAAGCGGTAACGCGTTGTGCGTGTCTATGTATATCCTTACACATTATTATTTCTCTTATTTAATTTTCACAAATTTTTATACCTACGTTCTTCCAACGTGGTAGCTGCCACTTCAGCACCATATTGGCTCTCACCAATACTATTTAGGCACTTCACTTTGAAGAAGTATCTTGTTTTAGGTTTTAAACCTCTTAGCGTTATTGTTGTTTCTGTGCCATGCACCGTAAGAGGACCACCAACCGTTTTACCTAAAAATAAGTTAAGTCAAATAAATTAAATTTACTCATGTTTTTAAAGACGTTTAATGAGTTTTAGTTCTTTAATGGGAAACTTACCATCAGAGTCCCTCCACATTACTGTATACTGATTGATTGGAGCATTTCCATCAAATGGTCTGTCCCAGGTGAGTTTAATACTGCGGCTTGATATATCATGCACCTCTAGATTCTGTGGAGCATCGGGAATATCTGCATCAGAAAAGAGGTAGAAATGGTGTGAATATGAATTAAAAATATTACGGTAGTTTTATCTATCAAATATCTAAGAAAATTAAAAAAAATTGTGATCACCTAATTCTTTTTTAAAAAAACTTTTTCTTCTTGGTTCAATTACAACGTTTAAGACCGTGTCTATCAGTTTAGGTCCCATTTATTTGTAATATTCACCGGAATTAGTATTGAAAACGANAAAGACGTTTAATGAGTTTTAGTTCTTTAATGGGAAACTTACCATCAGAGTCCCTCCACATTACTGTATACTGATTGATTGGAGCATTTCCATCAAATGGTCTGTCCCAGGTAAGTTTAATACTGCGGCTTGATATATCATGCACCTCTAGATTCTGTGGAGCATCGGGGATATCTGCATCAGAAAAGAGGTAGAAATGGTGTGAATATGAATTAAAAATATTACGGTAGTTTTATCTATCAAATATCTAAGAAAAATTAAAAAAATTGTGATCGCCTAATTTTTCTTAAAAAAAAACTTTTTCTTCTTGCTTCAACTATAACTTTTAAGACCGCATCAATCAGTTTAGGTCCCATTTATTTGTAATATTCATCGAAATTAGTATTGAAAACGATCCAGTTTAAGCTACAGGTTAGAATTTCTGGTTCTTAGTTAAAACAAAAAAATATATATATATCGTTCAAATGATAAAATTCTCTTTTTTGCACAACTCAAGAAGTATTTATGGAATCTCTCTGGACCCGTATCTCAAAAATGAACTCACCAACTAATAACTAACCAATAATGCCATAACGAAATTAAAAGTGAAAAAAAGAATTCTAAAAAAATTATCAAACAGAAGCGGTCCCCATAGCAACGCATGCAATGACGACGCATGCGCAATGCTTGCTATTACTCTTGAATACAGTTGAAAAGTGTGATGACGTCCAAATAAGGTGCGCACGCCATAACCCAAAACAACACACATTTTGCCGACGGGTAATAAATTTTCGGTTTTGTATACAAAATGTTACAGTACTAGAAAATTTTAACAAAAAATACTTGAATTCAGATGGAGGCATGCAATCATGTTCAAAATTCTTAGGTATCCTACGGGCTGAAAATTGGTAATTTCGATGAAAATTTAGCTTCGTTTTACTTATGTCTGAATTTCAGTTTATTAGTTCTCCATAACCCTTTAAACTCATTTTCTTCGAATTAAAGAAATGAAGTTATAATTGTTTTTGTCGTATGCTAACAGACGAAGCAGAAAGTGAACTCACTAAACTAAAATAATTTAAAATAAGTGAAAATTGAACTAAAATAATTTTTTCATTTGAATAAATTATGTTTTTAAGACCTATAAAATTCATTTCAGAAATAAACTTTTTTTTTCAGAATTATATTGTCATAATATTTCTTGCACTTCTTGCAGATTTTTCTGAAAAACGCTGACTTTGCGAAATTTTCTTTACGCTAAAAAATGCTTATTATAAAATTCTTCAAATGTTTGAATGCAAATCTCATATAACGTTAGCGATGTTTTGAACTAAAAACTAAGGTTTAAGTTCAAATTTGTTATTTTTATCAAACTTTAAGTAAGAATATTTAGAATTTTTCTTTAGAAGTTCGATATTAAACAATATATTTAGTTTCATTTCGTTTTTTTTTAATTATAATGCTAATTTACCCAGGTAGTAACACAGGTAATTACATTTTTGATCTAGGAAAAAAAAATTGCTTTACAATTTATTGTAGAGCTTGTAGCGTGATATCAAAAATTTGTGGTTCAAAATTGCTACTATTTTAAAAAATATCTTATAAATTTTTAATTTTTACTTTAAATTTATTTTTTAATAGAGCCTTTTTGAGAAAAATTATGTTGAGTCCAGTCGGAATCCATAAATATAATAGCAACCATGAAATACATAGTTTGTCAGAAATCAGTTTTCCATATTAGAAGAATGGTATTGGTAAAATGAGTTAAAATTGGAACTACAGATAATTTGAATGAGGTATTTGAAATTCATATAAAAAATGCACGAAATTTTAACAATAAATGGAGTTTTTGCCAATCATAACTATTTTTGCAGCAGCTATAGAAAATATGATAAGGCTCTATGATTAAAATACGCAGTTGGACGCAAAACCCTAATATGTTACGTCCAGTAATGGGCTTTACAAATCAAGCAGTTTCAATGCTGATTAATTTATCAATTATAATTTATTATTAATTGATTTATTTAATAATTCTGACTATATTAATGAAAGTTTTCAGAGGATTAAAGTTTCGATGTTTATAAAAATTCCAATTATAAGTAAATTTGTGCATTTTTCTTATTTAATTAGCTTCAAGCACATAATTAAAGTTATTTGTAGCCTCAATAGTTAAGATGTTACCCTATTTTTTATTACCTTGGGAAACTCTGTGAATTGGGAACCCTGTACAGTAGATTGTATAACCATCCTTAATTATTAACTCTTAATTCCTCAAATAACATTTTAAGTTTTGCGATATTTGAGAAATTATTGCTTTCAAAAAATTTTACCAAGGCGTATATAAAACTGGAATACTCTCTTCTAATAATGATTGCTTTAAAATTAGTTTTATATAAATGTTTTGTTACAACTGTTTTCAGTTGGCTGAATTTCATGCCCTCAAGTTTCCATATGTCCTACAAGTTCCCATAGCAAAGCAATACCTCTGGGGGTACTGAATTGTAGATTGATCATTTTCTGGTTCAAGTCAAAATTAAGATCTATGGAAGAATAAAAGGAGCATTAATGAATCTTTCCTGTAAAACGGGCTGTGACGTATGTATGGTTGAAGTTGTATTTGGGCCTTAGATTGTGCCATTGAAAAATAGTAAGCGCACCTTCTGCCTTAAAAATCGGTTAAATTCTCAAAGCAGACTTGCTCGTATTGGCAAGAGGGCATTAACAACAACAACGTTTTTTAATTTATATGCTCAATATAAACAAAGCATGGTGAAGGTGTGGATTATACTATTTTACAAAACGTGGTACTATACTAAGTTATCTGTATTGAAAAATATAATAACCATCATCTGTCTAAACTATACGCTAAAGTATTTAATATTTCGTGACAACAAATTTTAATTGATAATTTATTTTGTTTAATGTTTAAAAAGTATAATACAGTAAGTACCTTTTATAGTAACTTGTATATTCATAGTATCCTCTCCAAATTCATTCATTGCAATGCACTCAAATAAAGCTGAATCCTTTCTTTCGGCTTTTTCTATAACCAAAGAAGCTTTTATACCTTGATCCACTATTTCTTCTATTNGATACTTTACGTCAGCTCCGTGGTCAAGAAAACACTAAGAAAGTTAAGAAAAACAAATGATTTGATTTTCTCCAAAACGAATAGTTCAATATAATTATATTTCACCAATATCCGACAATTTATTTAATCTTTTGAGAAAGTATAAATAAGAGAAATATCCAATTCCTATTTGTCGTATTTTCAATCCTTTTTTATGAAAATCATTCGTTGATTGTATTTTTATAAAATTAAGCCTTTATTTCGAAGAGGGCTGCGTAATTTTTTTCTCATTTAATTTATTTCGCATGTTTAATTTATTCATTATATAAAAAAAACAGATTTAAACGTTTAATTTGAACACATGCAATAAGAGCATTCAAAAGAACTTTTTTAAATCAAAAAAAGAATTCTCTGAAAAATTAGACTTCAAAGACTGTTTTATATTTAATTATGAAACAAAACCAAAGCACAGTATTTTTAAAACTCTGAAAAAAAGCATTAAAGTACACCAAAATATATTTTTTTAAGGTAAAAATATATTTTGTTGAAAATAACGGAAAGAATTCTTATAATTCATTTTAAATTCAAAGAAAAGAAAGACATACGGCATAAATTTAAAAATGAATTACCTGCATCATGCATGTCGTAACCGTAAGCGAACAAAGAAATGGTTGATCTATGGGGAAGAAAGCTTTTACTGATAGTTGCGACAGCGTCATCCAAGATTTAAAACACACATATCAACAATTCTACCAAAGAAACACTTTTCCATAGGAATAAAAGTTTTTGTCTGGCATAAAAACTTTGTTGACGAATGGGAAAAGAATGAGGAGTAAATCTTCGATTTAGGAACTGGCAGATTGTGGATTCATCGATCATGCGTTTTTGAAAAGTTTTGAGCAATGATGAATCACTTAGACTTCTGACTTTTTGATCGATTTAAAGGAAATCTATTTTTAATAAATCTAGTGGAAGATTACTTTAGATTTTCTAACTTCAGTCAGAGTATTTTTAAACTAACTGATTGTATATATTTTCTGGATTGTTGAACCATTAAATTTCGAAAAAAGTAAATAAAAGTCTTTCGATTCTTATTTGGTTTGGCAAAGTGTATATCAATGAAACAATTTCTGCAAAAGGAAGATATATTACCGATTGGCTACACCAAAGTTTCTCAGATAGTGTGTATAATCATGTGGAATAAGATTACACCTGGAAACTAAATTTTTATTGCATTAATACAAACTTTTGACCTTGCCTAATTTGAATGTGAGAATTTCAAAGCTTAAATTAGTTTCACTCCTAAAGATAAATAATTTTTTTTTAAAAAAAACGACATTTTTAGTCTTTTTTTGCCGAAATGTACAATTTAAAAAAAATTATAAATGACACGAATTTGCGTAAATGTTGCGTAAATTTCTACGCGAAAAAAAAGAGGTTGCGTAAATTTCTACCAGAGCTAAGACACATTATCAGGAATAAAACTAAACGGGAATCCATGACCGAAAATGGCGTCGTTGTCGTACGGATGGGCGTGCTTTTCTGTCATGAGCTGTTCAAACCTAGACACAAAGAAACAGTTCTTAATTGAAAAGCCCCTATCGGCATATGACTACATTCCCGTGCATGGGTTCCTATGCAATTTTAATCTTGTCTTGATGATGTGTCGTAACTACCCTATAAGTTTGTTGTAACATTTATGCTTTTCGTCTGCTGTAAAAATAAAGTTTTTTCTTATCTTGTACGTGTCGACAAAAAATTAACTAAAATTGTCATTTTTTTTTAAAAAAAAAGAACTGTTACTTAAAGAGAGAAACCGATTGCAAATTTGAAATTGGTGACAGGAATGTATCGAAGATTTGTTAAAAAATTTCATGGAAATAGAGGATGAAAAAAATTGTAACGACGTATTCCCGTGCATGGGTTCCCATGCAATTTTAATCTTGATGATGAGTCATAACTCTCCTAGAAGTTTGTCGCAATATTTATGCGTTCGCCAGTTATATATAAAGTTCTTAAATTTATACAAGTCGACAAAAAATTGACTAAAAATGCCATTTGAAAAAAAAAATAACAGTTACTTAAGTAAAGAAACCAATGGCAAATTTGAAATTAGTGACAGGAATGTAAAAAAATGATTTTTTAAACGATAACATGCAACAGAGGACGGAAACAAATTGTTCCCTAGTGTTATTTAACAGTACACAAAAAGGTTTTCCCTACATGATTGGATGCAATTATTTTTCTGCAGAAATCCCATTTTTCTTTCTTTTGATTTTCCAAAAGTGAGAAAGAAAATGTATAATTTTTATATTCGTATTGCATTACATTCAATTTAATTAACATGTCTATCTTCGATGACTAAACTATCTTCAAAAGGCTGTTCACATACAAGTATAACGTACAAGGACACGAGAAACAAGGAAAGATATGGATGAATATACTCGAAAATTTTTTGGTATATTCTACAAATATTCAATAGATGCAAAACTGGGGACTGGCATGCAACCCAGTTATTAAGCATTCAATTGCACATTTTTCTCAATGCCCGTTACAGTAGCATTGATGTATTCCTGTTGACTTCCTGAGTATTGTTGACCTTTTTTTGGGTAATCGCGGGGACTTGGGTCTATTTCCCATTGGCCTCAGAAATGCCAGATTTGCTTCTCTCTTATCGTTACCCTGTGGGCACCTATGGCTAAGCCACGACGGTGGAGCAGCGTCGCCCACGTCATACAACTACAGACCCGTTTATAGGGCTGGTTACATTCACACAATCACGCAGGAAAAAGGGCATAGAACACAGAGAGAGAAAGAAACATCCATGCCCTGGTCTGCAATTGTTGAATTTGGGTTACAGAAACATTTCCCCCGAAAGTGACACTGATTCTTGAAAAGGACAAAAGATTGTGCATTCCTAGAGGTAATTTAATATTTGCAGTGACAAAATTCCTGATCAATGATGGCTTGCTTCTAGGTAAGAGGAAAGTTCTGGTTTATGCACTCCTAATGACAAGCAAGTTCTTGTCATGAATAAGGTTTTTGTACCCCCAATGCCAACGACACTGTAGGAATGCATTTGTTTCTGTCGTAACAGGAATTGGTAGAAACATTCCATTGAACATGAGCATGAAGACAACAATTTTACAATTACAGTTTTACTTTTTATTCCAACCGTCGTTGAACAGCCGACAAATGTTTGAGTTTACGACTATTGATGTTCTACACCGTAACCTTGTATTTTTGAACCAGGGACAAGGGAACTTCTGGATCAAGTATTGGAAGACATTTGCCTTCTTGGAAGATTTTTTTAAGCGAATAAACTCGCATTTGCGTTAAATGGGTAGAATAACCACGAAAACCATCAACGGTTGGCCTAACGGCAAGGGGATTCTAGCCCTTAATCCGTCTGCAACTGAGGATACTTTACGTCAGCTCCGTGGTCAGTGCGAGCTGAGTGCGAAATTCGTGTCTATCAGTCTGCGAGAAAATTAGTATTTTATTTTGTTTCATAATCATCGTTGAACAGCCGACCCAAATTTTGAGTTTACGACTACCAATATTTTACTCCGTAGCATCGTAATTTTGAGCCCAATCCAGAAGACAAGGGGACTCCTGGATCTGTACCTCCAGAGGTAGTGATCTGTTATGGGAACACGGGTGACTTTGACTCCGACAGATTTAACGTGTCCCAGTAATAATTTAATACAAGGGGAGTTTTTGGCCGAACGAAATCAAACTCTCGTTATCACGAGCACGAGTTCAACGCTCTACCAATCAGGCTATCCCGGTCCTCAGGGAATTAATATTGTGATTTTTTAATGCGACCAAGGCTATATTGAGCATTCCTTGTGTATACCAGAAGCTTGTCGAGTGTGCATATTTCCATGTATTTCCCGTCAATATGCGTCGTTTGAAACCAAGAGAAAAATTAAATCTAATCTTACATTACCCCTTACAAACGGCAATTTAGGCAATTGGAAGAAATAATTATTGTAAAAAATGGAAAAAAAAGGGAAAAAAAATATTTATAAAAAACACAACATTAAATAAAAATAAATGTAGGATATATAAACTGATATCCCAAATCTAAAATATGTATTGTAAATATCTAAGTAAATATGTAAAGTATGTAAACATGTATCTAAAATATGTTGTGACCTTTTAACTTTCAACGAAATATTGTGTTGCAATTAAGGCAGACAGAAAACTTTTAACCTAATTTATCAATTTAATTTATCTGATTATCTAATCTATTTTATCTAATTTATCAATATATATATATGGGTAATTCTCACAAAAACAGTCCTTTTCATGTCCCCAGTATATTTTAGGTTTGTTTTACAGCTTACGAAAAAAAAAATTCAGGGAAAGTGTCCTTCAGAATGCAGGCTAACAAAAGAATAAAAATANTATATATATGTGTAATATAATTTAAAAGTGTTACCTACTGCATACTGTATGAATTAATTAATTGGTAATTTAAGTGAAAATAATTTTATGTAATTTATTATTCTCATTAAAAGTTTCAAACTTTTACATATTACCTAATTTGATGAAACTTCTGCGGTAGAGTTAAATTACAAGGACAAAAATAGTCGATGCTAATGAGTCACTAATAAACGATAAAGTTGCTTAAATATTCAGTGAAAGATTACGAACCGAAATTTAAAATTCTGTGACATTTTTCTTAGCTACAGAATCCATATTACTTGATTAATTATGTCATCAATCAATCTATTTCAGTTCTTTATTCCCCAAAGAGCCACTTGTCTTCACGTGGCTTTCAAACTTCATTTAAGGTACCCAAAATAAAAATAGGGTTTGCTACTTTTTTTTTTATTTTTCATCTTAAATATTTAAACTCTTTAAAATATGAAACATTTAACGCATCTGATAGATGTTCTTGTCGGAGAAGACACGAAACTATAAAGTATATTTTTTACCTTTAATCTTTTTTAATGTTTTCTACGACCATATTCTACTTGAATGGTTGCATGTTGACGAAATTAAATTTTATTCTGTTAAGTTAGAAGTTGTTTAGTTTTCTGGTAAAACTATAGAAAAATTAATTTAACTATGTTAAATAGAACATTATTTAATTAAACTTACAGTTTTTGTTTTAAGAATATTGAGGTGAGATAAATTAAGTCGGGTAACTTAATTTAATGAAGTAAAGTAAAATAAATATGTTAGCTAGTTTAAGAAAATAATTTCCTTGCTGCTCTTTTTATTTCTTTTAGCTTTATAATAATGCAATTATTTTTAAGAGCTGAATAATATTTATAAACTTCAAGCAAATTAATTAATGTTCAGACAATAATTTATGAACATTTACCAAAACTATAACTTATAAAAGAAATTTTTAAAAATTTTTAGAAAAAATATGCATTTCCATATAACTGTTATAACAAATTGTATTACTTACTTATTATTTATCACTTAATAAAGGAAATGTTAATATTTTATATTGATTTCAGTTAGTATTATTATCATTATTTGAGTTTAAAAAAATAGTATTCATAGTCAATTTTTTTATTTTATTTTTTAGATAATAAATATTGGTTAATCGGAGATTGCAGTGGTTAAATCAGTAAAGTCTAAATTTATCTGCAAAACTAAAGCAAGATTGAGTTGAGATTTGTAAAGTAGCCATCAAAACGCTTGTTGGAAAAAATGGCACGATATAGTTTTCGACTAAATTGTTAAAATGTGATCTAGTTGAAAATTGTTAATTGGATTCATAAAGCACTTGTTACACATATTTGTTTCCAGACGTAAAAAAATAGCGATCGTCAGCTCTTACATATCTACGTTTTGTTCTTTTTTAAAGTTAATGAACAAGCCATTGATTTTGTATTATAAATTTTAAATTATGATCTTGTATTATAAAAAAATTATAGAATGGTTTGTTGCTTAATTTGTATAATGCACTGCAAAAAAATCCAGATCAAATTACGATGAAAAGTACTGGCACTCAGGACTCCGGTACTTTTTACAGTAATGTAATGATATCACTGATATACCGCAATATTACTGATAAATCGTAATACTACTGATATATCGTAATATTACTGATATGCCTTAATTGTTACTTTGAAATCATTAAGTCACTCTAATTACGTAAATAATAATGTGAAATTTTAGATATAATATTTTACGGTAAAAATGGCTTATACTGGTAAAGGAATTATACGGATGATGCACTCAAACAGCCGATACTTGATCCCTTTGATGGAGATGGAACAACTGTGTCCCTTTCGTACAATTTTTCTGAGGCTCTAATTAAAAGCAAAAATATATTTTAGTACTTTTTAAATGTAAAAAACAGTCTAATTGTTACTAAAAATATGTTAGATTATCGGAATCATATTTGTACAAAAATATAAAATCAAAAAGGAAGTTATTTCTCTTTATTTATATTCAAAAAATTTTAAATAAATGATTTTGTAAATTATATAAACTTCTGTGATGAATAACAATGTCTCTTAGATCTAAATAACTGCAAATAAGTGCACATTTATAAAATTAGTGTTTGGAAGTGAGCCGTGTTTGAACGATTTTACCTTTAAGGCTGAAAAAGATACCAATGTTTCATACTTTATTTTATAACAAAAAATTTTTAAAATTGAAAAAATAATATTTTTCACTTATTTTGATCTAAATTAATACAAAATATGAAAAAGTATAAAGAATTTGCTTAATAATAATTCTGTATCAAAAGGTTAAAGTGTAATTTGATCCGGAATTTTTTTGCAGTGTACCATCATTTAAAATAAAATTCATATACTTGTAATTGCATTTATATAATATTTATGTATGGGAATTTTGACATTAAGGATTGAAATGGTTTAGGTGTAAAGTTAAGTAGTGCAGGAATTGCCTATCAATGTATCACATGTTAATAAATTTTCGAAATTGTGTAGCTCAAATGGTGTCGAAGTCATGGTGCAGAAACATTTGGAGTAGAATGGTGCTGCCATCTGCTGAGATGTAATTCTGCCTCTGGAAATAAATAGAGTTTTAAGGCATTTAAGGCCTGTTTACACGGTCTAATTTCTTGAATCCGAGAAACTGGACGGATTTCTCTGTCCAAGAAATTGGATGATTCGTTGACACTATCCAAGTTCTTGAATGTCGCTGATTCGTTGAAAGAAAAACTTGCGCATGCGCATTGTTCATATTCAACATTATAAAATAATACTTACATAAGTTTAAAATTACTAAATAAATTCAAATAAAATCATAATAACACAAATAAACCGCAACAGATCAATTTATTTGGACTAAAATATATGAAAACAGACAAGAAGATGACATAATTTGCTGCCTGATTGTCGGCGTCACAAAACCTAAGACACTGATTGGTTAAGGGAGAAAAAACTTGGATGGAAAGTAGAACATGCTCTACTATCGTCCAAGAAGTTGAACCAAGCTCTTAGATGTTTGTTTACGCGATCAAAGCTCAAAGCAAAACAAGTTTCCATTAATATCAATCAATCTATGTCCAAGAAATTGGATCGTCTAAACAGGCCTTTAGAGGTCAACTGGTCACCAAAAAGGGGGACAATAGAGTTCACGCTGTTTCAATTGGGAAGAAAGTTTTAATAGCGAAACTAACATGACTGCCATGTGGACTAAAACAATCACTCGTACGGTTTGCGTCAATGTATTAAAAACAAATAAAAAGTTCTTATATAAATAAATGGATTTCAAATGGAATGAGCAAAACTGTGATTGAAAAACTGATTGTGTTATTTTTAAAGGCTTAATTTCTAATTTATCAAAGCATCAATTCTTATATTTTTATTTTTATTTTCTTATATACTAAGCTCCTAAGATTTAAAAGTACACGACGACGTTTTGAGTTTTAATATATTTCATTTGAAGAAAAATAAGATTTGCTGTTATCCTTACCTTGGTTCAACTGTTGGTTCAACAAGTTGACTGTTTCTTTTCCAAGAAAATCTGATTGGATGATCTCCTTTTGCTATGCATTCAATAACGCATTTATCTCCTCTCCTAGCACCTAATACCATGAATTTTGAGTAGAATTGTGGTGGACCTAGAAATATTGAAATCATTATGCTTACTAAGTGTAGTTAAAAATGCCTGAAGACATATATAGCATAATTCTTAAATTGAGGGGAATGAATGAGATTAAAAATCATATAATACATTTATCTCCTATCAACAATGAATTTATCTCCTCCCCAAGCATTTATTAGTTTCTTATTTCGAATAGAATTATAATTCCTATTTAATAGATTTATAATTCTTGTTTCGAATAGAATTGTGATGGACTTTGAGATAATTAAAATCATGTTGCTTACTTAGTAGTTAAAAATGCTTGAATACAGATACTGCATGATTCTAAAATTGAGATGGATGTGTGACCATCCAAAATCATTCAAATTCGTAATTTCAAAACGTTAATGAACTTGTATAGTTGTTGTATTGCCAGCTTTCGAAAATCACGAAACGTAGTAATATTTTATTTTCTTATAATAATCATGAAATGTATAAAAGTAAAAAAAAATTTTTTTGATTATTTATAACCAATTTCGTATCAATTTGGTTAAGTTGAAGGGACTATCAGCTTTGAAGTATTCTCACGTTCAGTCTGCTTCAAACATTGGTGTAGAGGACCCAATTTAAAAATACAGAGACAGTAGACACAGAACTGTCACGGATCTCCCAGTACTCATTCTTACATCTCCCGGTACTCATTCTTACGAAGTAAAAAGTGGTTTGTAAAACATTCGTATAAGAAAGGTTTGTAAAATATTCGTATATTCGTCGACGTTTCAGTTTTACATAAATTTTACGAATGATTAGTGAAATTTAAAGGTGAAATATACGTATTTTTCATGCGAAAATATATGACATTATCTGCTACATGGATCTTCAACCTTGGACTTAAAGTGATTACTTCTTTTTTTCCCAAGACCACAGATGATATTTAATTGAAATCATTGTGGATACACAAGTAAGTGACAATAGTTGCTTTACTGATGTTAACAAAGAAAGAGTTAATCGGATTTGAATTGGTCGTTAGAAAACATGTTAAAGTTCATGCAGACATTTTTATATATTGAATGTTATTAATACTTTGTATCAATATGGTTAATAAATCTTCTTTAAAACTTTTTTACTAATTTTGGATAACATTTTGGGAAATCTTACGTGGACAAAATACGGCAGGCAGAATCAGCTATGGACAAAATATCGTGGTAAATAGTAAAACATGGCAATTCTATTTAAAGGTATGGACAAAAAGCCGACTGCAAAATCTGCTGTGGACTAAATATTAGAAGTATTACAAAAATGCATTTATCGTAAATCTATAGCAAATTCTACAACCACTCGCATGATTAAGCCAAAGATCATTGTAATTCATATGAATAAAAGTGCGCGTTTAAATAAAGATTATTTGCTTATGCATATGAAATAACTTCAAACTTTATATATTTTTCATATATGCATAACAAATCTTTTATTGGATAACAAGATTCAGAAAAGGGAGTTTTTAATAGTCAGGTTCAAAAAATTACACTGAGAGTTATCTAAATTTCGAAAAACAAAATAGATACGCGAATTCTAGTTTATTTGAGATGTATTAAAAAAAATATTTGACTCGAAACTGAAATTTAAAAAAAAATCTGCTTAAATATTTGAATATGAAATAAATATTTCCTCAGTGAAATATGCAAGGTATAGCACATAGAATAAGTGTGAAATATTTTTGAGTGTCTTATGAATTTTAATTTTATAAAGTATAACTTTGACGAAAGTAAAGGATTTGGATTATTGTAAATATTTCAAAATCAAACAGTTTGTTTATTTTATTAAAAATTTTTATCTTCTTATAAATATAAGCCTTTAAACATTTCAATAAAACTTCGTTGGAGTAAAAATGTGAGACAAATATAATGTTGGAGAGTCAGTTTTTCTATTCGAGTTCAGAAATTAACTTTGTTACTTGCATTATTTTTTTTTTTTGCAAAATGCAAATATTTTAATTAAAAAATTTATTTGTGTAAAGAAGGAGAAAACGAATAATGTAATTTTGATAAAACTTTATTCATCTCAGTTATTTCCGATTTACTAGATGTAGATTAGAATTTTTAATTTTACTTTTCAAGTACGTATAAAACACGATGTAAGAGATATATTTCAAATGAAACTCTTAAATAAATATAGAAATCAAATACACTTTGGAGTTTAATTTTATTTTGCTTTTAGCATCATGTTTTATAAGATTAGAAAACAAATGTTTCATTTCACTAGTAAAAATGATTTCCTTCTTAGATTAGGATCAAGGGTTTTTACATAAAATAAATAAAGTGAAAGAGATTTACCTTCGAAAATTTTTTATCTAATTTATTTTTATTGATTTATAAAGTAATTTTTAATATTTTGTGTATGCATTCTTCTTATATTGGATAAAGACGAGATAACAAATACGTTTCAGAAGGAAACATAATCGAATGAGTACGGGAAATAAAAAAGTGCTATTGTGCATGAACAGACAGGAATATACCATTTACTTGACAGCATTAGAAAGCTAATTTCTTGGAAATAGTATCAGAAGATTGCCTCCTTTTATAAATTTATGATCTATTCTAAACAATGCAGAAAGTTGCTCAACACCCGCCCCTGCAGGTTGTTTTCAGTGGACTGTGATACTATTTTCGGCATTACATATTTCCTAGCTATCAAAATTTCTTTAATTTCATAAATTTTATTGTTTAAACATTCTTAATCCTTCTATATTTAAATTAAATCATTTATTTATTATTTGCAATATTTTACAAAAAGCGAATACATATACTTTTTTTTTGTTGTTAACAATCAATGCGACGTCAATACAAGCGTATCAATTCAATCAGGATCGCTACTAAATCGAATATCAAAATTTAGCAGTCATTTTAAATTTTTTTTAATCTACTTTATTTCTCTTACTACAAAATTTTTCAATTACAGGGTTGCATTAAATTTTAGCTGTCTTTTTGGTGATTAGGTTGAAGCCAGATAATTTAATATTAAAAACGAATCTGTAATATGTACTAAATTTTGGATCTCTTCCTATGCTCCTAAGTGTCCGCTAAACGATTTTGTCCATACCTTCTGAATAGTACCATTATGCGGAATACTTCTACTGCTTAATTAAGGAATACGCATGATAAAGAATATGCATGATATAAAATATAAGTTTACAACTTAATTTTTAATTAATTTGTAAAGTGTATTTGTCAATTTTTTTTTTACTATCTCACTACAGAAACTTTATAACAACTTCGTCTACGACAGCCAGTTCATGTTCCTGGTTGTTTTAAATGCGCTTCCTGAGCGCAAGATTTTTGAAAGTATTTCAACCAAGACTAAAATGGCGTCTAAAAAAATGCATTTCTATCTCAATCTTAGTCTTATAACCGTCGTGGAACAGCCGACCCAATTTTAAGTTTGCGAATATTAGTGTCCAACTCTGTTGCCTTGTAATTTTGAACCCAATCCAGAAGACAACAGAACTCCTACATCAAGTATCGGGAGAAAATTGTCTTCGTGGCGGTTAGCCTGACAACAAGGGGACTCTTACCCATGGTCCGTATATCACTGAGGATATTTTATGTCAGTACTGTGGTCGGTGCGAGCTATGTTTGGTACTCGTATCGACCAATCGCATGAATTCGAACTCAGTTCACCTCAACACATTCGAGCAGCACTGTTTGTTTCCAATTATTACATTTTTAACACCAATGTTCCAGATAAATTATTTTAAAATAAGCACTAAAAACTTAAACAAATCGGTTAAATTTTAGGGACCACATTAAAATTTATAATTTTGAGATAGTTGCATGTACCGATTCACGTTATCATTGATTTATTATGGTGGGGAGCTTTCTCAGTTGAAGTAAGGTTAGACTAAAATATTTCACTTATTTCCAAATTGATATAATTTGGAACATTGTAAAAAGTGAACCCAGTTTTTAATGCTTAAAAGTAAGGAAAATCTACCCAATTATATTATTTTGTGTAATTAAAGAAAATAATAAGAATAATTAATTATTCAGAACGTAAGTATGTATTTTAGTTTGTGGAAATTTATGCTTAGTTAAGATTTTGTTTTTCCTTTTTGCAATTTGTGAACACATTTTTGAACTGCATTTTTCTATCTAGTTCCAAATTTAACTTTAACTATAGTATTAAAGCAATGATACGTATGTAGGCAATTTATGCTTCAAAAGTTTCTAGGAAAAACTAATAAGCATGGCTAGGCATGGGGGATATAAATAAAGCCTCCTAGATGCCGCTTCTCTGGCCATCTGGGATTTAATTTATTACTAGTTAATTATTAATTAATAAGTTACATTTTTAATTTATATTTTCTTGATACTTTTTGTACTTATTAAACTTTTGAAGTCTTATTAAACATTGAATAGTATTATTAGACAACAATATACTTTTCAAAAAATTGAAATATAATTAGATCGCTTTATTTAGATTTGGAGAAATAGCTCTTAATAGTTTTTAGAGCAACTATGAAATTTTCCCCAACACTTTAAAACAATAAAATGACACGTATAGCGGCTTTGAGTCAAAATTTAAAACTACTCGCTTCTCAGTTCCATAATTTTTTAAAACTTCATTTTATTACAATGTGAACTAATGAAAACCGATTTTGATGTCTCTAAAAAAATTATCTTAACGTTAATTGAATAAAACAAAGAAGTTTGGTATAATTTTGTTAGAAGAAATTAATAGAAAATATAATGTACCGCCCGTTTAATATCTCAAATTATGATTGGGTGGCGGTTTAAGTGCGAAAATTAAATAAAAATGATTAAAAGCATATTTGGAATTTTCCCTTCCCGTCTTCGCCGGCTGCAGATTTTAGTAGGGAGAGGAATTCTCGAAATCTATAAGCAACTTCACAACGCATTTTGATGTTTTTCAAAATTATTGCCTTTTTTTTTCATTACCGTGTATGGAATTATATTTCATTAATTCAATACTTTGCAATAAACATAATATGTTACAAACGTATACAGTGTTTTACTTACTGTGAACTGTAAATCGAACTACTGTACTCAATCCAGAATCGACACCATTATTTGCTTCACACAGATAAAACCCGGCATCTGTCGTTTCAACGCTTCGAAAATTGAGAGAACCATTGACTAGAATATGAATGTGTGAACTGCTGACAATTGTTTTAAATTTGTTTGGAGGGTGATCTGAAAGCAAATAATGTGCTTTTAAATTATTTAAACTCCTTTCACTATAAATATAGGTTTCGTCAAAGTGAATTATGATCAAATAAGTAAAGGTGATACATTAGTAATCATGGCAAATATGATAAATTACGATTAATCATCAAAATAAAGTATATTATGATAATTTAAGATAATTTGGTTTATGAATAGTTAAAAAAATTAAATAAAAAGTTAATTATAATCAAATAAGTAAAGGTGATATGTAAGTCATTATTGTAAATATGATCAATTATGATTATTCATCAAAATAAAGTAGCAAAAGCAATTGAGTTTGTAGATAAACATATTGATTACACAATTATTTCTTGACAAAACATGTCTGTAAACTATTTCTTTTTAAATACATTTCTTTTGAACTCTTAAACAAATACAGTCATTTAGTTAAAAGTAACTGTCATAGAAAACAAACAATAAAACTTTTTTTCTTCAAACTACAATACACTCAATATTTCTTTCATTTCTCAAATGCACCACGTAAAAGCAATCTTCAAAAGCAATTTAGCATTTATTTCACGCAGATAAAAACTATATTTCTTCATCATCATGAAGAAATTTTCCATCATTCTAACATCTCACTCCTCCATTACCAGCAGCGAGCAATTTTCCTCACAATTTAATTCTACAAAAAAAATTTGATAATCTGATAAATCATCCCATCACCACTATCAAAAATGAAGCAAAAAAAAATATATATAAAGCAATCTACTCCTTTATTTCTTCTTTTCTCTTATCTTCAACTTCTCCTTTGGTACTGAATAGAAAGAAAATGAGTACCTGTGGCGACTTTCCAACGCACATGTGGCTGTGGCACGCCGTCTGCTTGGCAATCAATTATGGCTGATCGACCAGCTATAGCGTATGTGTCACTTGGCTCGATAACCCATCTTGGCGGTACTGTTGGAAGAAAAAGCAATTACTTATCACTTTGAATATCTTAATCGATTGAGAATGCAATTAATAATTCAGAATGATATTTGGCACTCTAGTTTCCAATTTTCTATTTAATGGTATTGAAATCATACTTTGTGTTAGAATGAATATTTCTTTGCGTTGAATGAATCATTTAAGAGTGCTTTAAAAGAAATGGTTTCTTGGTATTTTTAATTATACATTTATATCCTTACTGATCCTTAAGCATTTGAATTCTTCTAAGGGTGTGTAATTATTTCTAGAAATGTTCAAATTCGGAAGAGCTTATTAGTTAAAATATGAAATAGGTATTAAATAAAATGATGGTGTAGGAGATGGTGCGTTAATACTTTTTCGTCAATAATTTCTATGCCAAATGGAAGGCGAAAATCAAAACTAAAATTAAGAGTAGCATCATTCGTTTAAAATGTTATTATGACAACGGTCATTGTGGCCAGACGTAAATAGCATATCTGATCACAAACCAACACCAAAATGGGATTGATTCTTGCTCGAGGGATGATGGGACGATTCCATCCGTATTTTAATGCCTCGAAAAGTGATGAACTAAGAGTAAAACCTGTTTGAAATTTATACTTTTATTGCAATCTTACAGTTCTCTTGCATGAGCGGTCTTCTTATAAAAGCGATTTTATTTATTTATTTTCCGAATTAGGAATTTTTTTTCAGCAACTTTAGAATGATACTTTTTTTAAATTGGTAGATTGCCTTGTCTCCCAAAGACGCGATCCAGTTATGAATCTTAGCGATGACATGTCAATTTTTTTACTTCGGCTTCTACCAACTACAGTAATGAGTGTTCTGAATGAATATAATATATATACAGGGTGGTCCCGAATTCATGGTACGAACTTTAATGGTAGGTACAGGACATTGTAACAATGATTTATTGTATAAGAATGTATAGTCGCAAGTGACGCGGTGAGGCGTAAACAGGGGAAATAAAAGGAAAAGGAAATGGAGTGATCGGTTGGTATCATTGCCGGTAGAGGGCAGTAGATGTCTAGCCGCCGTTGAAAATGATGCATCGCAGTAGGGAAAAGCGCCATTCACAATTGTGCTGCCGTAGACGATGGGTGACTTTACGTATGCAGAAAAGCAGACATGCATTACATGTACAAATGGTAATGGCAGAGCTGCGCTACGAATGTATCGCGCGGAGTATCCTGATGGACGAATGCCGGATCATAGAATTTTTCAACGGTTACATCGTCAACTNTTATTGTCCATGCAAAACAAATGCCTATTATTTTAGGGGTAATCTCCTATTGTTCCATGCTAGAAGATAATACTTTAATTTATAATACATTTTTATTTCCGTCACTTTGAATTCATGAAATGTAAAAAAAAAATACTATTTAAACACTTTTCAGAATAACATTAAATGGAACAAATTAAAGCAATTTTCCCAAGTAACTAGCTTTAATTAATGCAAAAAATGTTAACTATACATGTGAAGAAAAAAATAATCTTACAGTGTCGTGAAATTTATTTTTTTAATACTTTCTTCTAAGCTATTTAACTATTCCTTTGAACAAAAATTCTTTTGTTTGAATCCTCTTAGGTGTTAGGTAAAAAGGTTTCTTAAAAACGGTAAGATGGAACATAATTTAATCATTGATTTTTTTATTATTATTTGAGAATAAAGAACAAGAGTTAGAACCTTTTAGTATTTAATAAAGGAAATGATGCTTGTGCTTAAGTACTCTCTTTATAAGAATTACTGAGTTTTGACATATTTTCTATCATGATAAAAATATATTTAAAATGAACTGTATAAAAATATTGTTAAATTAAATGGCAACTAACGATTCTACTTCCCACAGTTGAAGTCTCTGAACACATTATTAGATAAATTGAATAGTCTTTTTTCCAATTTTATGCTTAATTTAATCATGCTCAACTCTTGGTCAAGTCATGAAAGTGACCAGATTAATAACGGTGTTTAACTTTACAAGTTTAGCTGAATATTAAAACCTCGGCCAAAAAACATAGCGTGGTCTGACAATTTAGTTATCTCGACACTGTGTTTCCTGGAAGAGACTAGATTGTTTTAATTTAATTTAATTTAATTTAATTTAATTTAATTTAANTCCAGGAATCATAGGAACCCTCCCAAAACCCAAGTTACAAATACTAGTCAAAGGCTAACCTTATCAGCAAGCCTTTCAAAGAATAACAGCCAGGCTTGCTATGTGAACTCTTTTCTACACTATCAGTTATAATTTTTTAATTTAATTTAATTTAATTTAATTTTTATTTTGCCAATTTAAATTTTTTTTATCGAATCGAAATTCTACAACAAAACAATTACAATAGTTCTTAACTTAAAACTTAGCTTAAAATCGGTTAACTTAACGTAAATTCCTTTAAGTTGATTTGCATAATAATTAAACTATTGAAGCTTAAATTTTAAAAAAAATCCCTACCTTTTACTCGTAAAATAGTACTATAAGATCCGGTTGAAACATCATTGCCTGAAATGCAAGTATAGTTCCCATTGTGTTTATTTTTTAAATATTTTATGGTAATAGTTGACACAAAGCCATCTTCACCAGTAGAAATAGTTGCATCTAGATTCTTTTCATCAAATGGCATGCCATCTTTGAGCCATCTCGTCGAAAGGGGACCATCACCAGCTACTACAACACAAGTAACAGCTGTTCTCATTCCCTCGTGTAAATCATCTTGAAAAGCAAATTTTCCAACTTTCGGCTTAGCTGAAATAAATAGACAATGTAAAAAGAATCCTCACACTTTCGTTTTTGAAGTTAACTTTTTGTAATTATATTCCACATTTTTTAAAATATTATCTAAGAAATTGAAATATTATTTAATTCTTGAAAATACATATAATAATAGGTTCATATTAAAATAACAATTTCGTGATTTTTTTAAACTTCATTGAGGTTTCATTGCTATGCATTTTCGAATACAAATAATGTCGTTTTTTTACGATCATAGAAGTACTATTATAACTTGAATTTTGCTCATTGATAATGTATAAATATTTTTCTGTGTATACATTTTTTTCGATTCCACTTAAATTGTAAGATTTGCTAAATAGTTTTAGACACTGTAAAAATTTTGGAATGGAATTGCAGTACTAAGTACTGGTACCCTGGGTGCATCTTCCATTAAATCAATTTTACAAAAAAAAATCGGTTTTTACATTAAACTTTTATATACTGTAAACTTTACAATAGCACTTATTCAACTACAGAGATTCAGTGATTTAATATTATTGTTAATATTACTAATACATATTATATTACCGATAATACTGCTAATAAATATTACAGTTAAAGTAACGGCGCATCGGATTTTGATTACGTCAAATTTTATGGTAAAAATGGATTTTATGGAAGAAAAAGTTTAGGTAATTTGAGTGCTGGTGCAGTTTTACTGTAATTTGATACAGAAGTGCTTAGAGTAGATTTAAAAATTTCATCTAGGAAAAAAAATAATGTTATGTTTACCTAGAATATAAATGAAAGCTTTTTCAATGCTCATTATTTTTTACTGTCAATATTTTCTAGTCAATATTTAAATTTATTAATATTTTTTTTGTCATATAATAATTTTTTTTAACTCACTTTCTTTTTAAAAATATTTTTCTTCTCTTTATTTATCGTACAGTGTTGAAAAAAAAGAAAGAAAGAAAAGATATCAAGAATGATCTTTGATGTTCTTGTCTCCTTCTTATTAGGTTGAATTTTTATGAAATGAGTTTAAATAAATGAAACGAATTAGGGGGGGGGGCATAGTTCTCAAGCAATATTAGGTTTGATGTGTAGCAAATTAAATCATAAATTATTCGAAAATTGGTATTTGAAAAAAAACATATCTTTGAACATAACAGTTCTTATAATTTTAAGACATTTTAATTTACTCGAAGTGGCTCCATGCGAAAGTACGTAAAAAAGTAAATATATATCATTTCAGTATTTAATCTAAATCACTGAATCACTATATTTAAATAAATATTACTGTAAAACTTTAATTTATAGAATAAATTTTTACTGTGAAAATTGATCTTACGGTAAAATGGTTTTACAGATTAATTTTTACCGCATTCAGGGAGCAAACTTATTTACTCCCTCTTATAAATGTTTTAAAGTGAATGGAACGCAAAGAGACTTTAAAAGAATCACAATAGAAAGACAGAGAAATCATTTTTCCATCAGAGAGAGCTCTTAAAAGAGTTTTCGAGAAAATCGAATTTTTAAATCATTAGGCGCCAGGGAAAAAAAGATATTAAAAAGAACTTACTTCGTATTATGATCCTGATAGAACGTGAGACCGGAGTTATGCTTTGTCCTCCACTGACCTCACAACTATAAGTTCCTTCATCTATTGCAGGCTGCATACCACTGATGACCAGAGTCCCATTTGAGAATACTTGCTGTCTTTGATTGATAGGTAAAATTCTGTTATCTAAAAAAGAAACAATTCTCGAAATCTCTCAGGCGATTTGTTATCTGAAAATGATATTTTTGTTTTTTGAGCAATATTACTAAATGTAACGAGAGGAAAAATAAAAAAGACCACCCTGAATAATTTTTGATATATTGATTGATTCTAATAGTTTGAGCGGGATTGTTTAAACATGTTAATTAATAGTGCAGAAACCGGGTTCGAATCCCAACGATATCTGATCGATACAAATTCCACAAACAGGTTAAAACTGACCACAGAGCAGAAGCAAAACATCCTCATGGGTAAACGGAAAAGAGGTCCGAATCCTCTTGCCGTCAGACAACCGTGATAGCTTTTCGTGGTTTTCCTCTCATTGTAACTCAAATTCTGGTAAATTCCTCCAAAAAGTCAAGCAAAGTCCAAAAAGTAGTTAATTTTTATAGTAAATATATTTTCTACTTGAGGAAAATCTCTGAAATAGATAGATATTTTAAATTCAATTGCATGAAAATAATTAAAAAACGAATAAAACTTTTTATTTTTCGAAGATTTTTATAAAACTAAAGAAAACACGCCTTTGGCAACTCGTCTTTTGATTATTAAAGCAAACTGAGAAAAAAGTTTCATATTCTGCCATCGTCATCAAGTTTGCAATTCTAAAATCAACTGTTGGCCTGCATAGTTAAGAAGTGGATGAGGAATCGATTAAATACAGCTTGATTGTGTGCAAGGGTTGATGTCAAAAAAAAAAAAAAATCCGACTCATTCCGATTTAATTTTTGAAAGGGGCAGGAGAAGCCGTGATGGCTCATGGGATAGAGCGCTCGCCTTCCAATGAGGTCAAGAGGGCTCGAATCCCAGCAATAGCTGGTCGATACGAATTCTACATCCAGTTTGCACCGACCAGAGTGCTGACGTGAAATATTCTCAGTGGTAGACGGGTTAGAGTTCCCTTGCCGTCAGACAACCGAGAGAGCGTTTCGTGGTTTTTCTCTCAATGTAACGCAAATTAGGGTAAATTACTTCAAAAAGTCCTCCACGATAGCAAATTTCTCCCAATACTTGAGCCGGGAATTCCCTTGTCCTCTGGATTGGATTGAAAATTGCAAGGCTACAGAGTTGAACATTAGTAGCCGTAGACCCTAAACTGAGCCAGCTGTTTAACGATGGTTTGAAAATAAAATGAAAATTAACAGTGCAAGATCCGGGCTCGAATCCCAACGATGTCCGATTGATATAAATTCTGCAGAAGCTGCGATGGCTCAAGGGATAGAGCGTTCACCTTCCAATCAGGCGAACCGGGTTCGAATCCCAGTTGATACGAATTCTGTATCCGGCTTGCACCGACCACAGTGCTGCCGTGAAATATCCTCCGTGTTAGACGGATCACGGGTTAGAGTCCCCTTGCCGTCAAGCTAACCGTGGGTGGGTCTCGTGGTCTTTCTCTCCTTGTAACACAAATGCTGGTAAATACCATCAAAAAGTCCTCCACGAAGGCAAATGTCTCCCAATACTCGATCCAAGAGTTCCCTTGTCTTCTGGATTGCGTTCAAAATTACAAGGCTACGGAGTTGAACGTTAGTAGTCGTAAACACATAAAATTGAGTCTGTTGTTCAACGACGGTTATAAAATTAAAAAAAATTCTGCTACCACCTCACACCGACCATACAGACGTAAAATATCCTCATAAGTTGATTAAACATGGGTTTAAGTCCCTCTGCGGTCAAACTAACCTTGAAAGGTTTCCGTGGTTTTCCTCTCCATGTAACGCAAAAGAGGAATAATTCCATCAAAAAGTCCTCCGCCAATTCAAATTTCTCTTAATACTTGATCCAGGAGTTCCCTTGTCTTCTAGATTCATTTCAAAATTTACAAGGCTTCGAAGTTGAACATTGGTAGTCGTAAACTCAAAATTGGATTAGCTGTTCAACGGCGGTTATAAAATAAAATGTAAAATAAATATAGTACAGATGATATATTAAGTTATGATTTCAGACTGAAAAGCATACTATTTTAGAAAAAATATACCTTTTTTCTGTAGGATTCAGATTTCTGGCCTCTAGGATATAGATGATAGCCACAAACCGGGACATATGGTCCCAATTAATTGTTTAGGAGAGCGATCCAAAGTTTGGATCCTTTTACGTTTCACTTTTTGCGTAATTCGTTACATCTCGAAAACTTTTCAAACCAATTTGATCCGTCACAAAAAATATGTTTATTGAGAGAAAGTCCGTAAATTTAAATATCGTCTGCACTATTTAATTTGCATATTTGAGGTCACCCCCCTCGATCTTTTAAGATTGAGTTCCAGAATGTGAATATCTGATCATTATCCTAAAAGTTAATAAGGGTGGTCCATAATTTTTTTTTTGTGAAGCGTAAAAAATAGTTGCAATTTCTACAGGAAGAAAAATTTTTTCAGAAAAAAGAGACTTTTTAAAGATAAAAACAAATTTTTGTTGTTTTTAATCATCCTTAAATAAGTTAATATAAATCCTCATCTTAAACCTATATTGAGGTAAAGGAATTTTATGGCTACATAATAAAGCATAGGTTCCTCGTGTTCAAATATATTAGAATTTAAATATTAACATACATATTTTTTTTGTTTCAATAAAAAAATATTCCAATTTTTTCAACATACCATGAAAAGAAACGTTTACCAAAAAGGAAAAAGGAAAAATTTGCACTTTATACTCATGCTTAAAAAATAGTCTTGCAAGCGTCATTATGTAAAACACAAGAAAATGCATTTATGTTCTCTGGGTTTATTCTAATGAGTTTATGTTAAGTGCTCATTAATATAGCTAATTAAACTAAAAACACATTTGCTACGTTAAATCTTTTTTCTGCAAAAATTCTAACTTTATGTTTAAAAAGAATCGTTAAATTTACTTTTATCACCAAGATATATCAGTTCGCAGTTTTTTGAAAAGTTGTTTACCAACTATTAAATTTTATTTCTTTCATTCAGGTTATTGCTTGGTGCATTAATTTTTAAATAGTATCAGAAACGTATTATTTTACAAATTAGAAAAAATTAAATTAAACTCAGCTTAATTAATAACTTTTCCGGATACTTTTTCCTAATTATTTCGACCCTTGTCGGCCGAAGACTCCTTGTGCGGTAAATGGTGACTGATGCACGTTAAATCTGTCGAGTCTCAAAGTCCTCTATGTTCCCATAACAAATCATACCTCTGGGAGTATTGGTACAGGAGTTTCCTTGTGTTCTGGATTAGTTCAAAATTACAAGGTTACGGAGTTGAACATTGGTAGTCATAAACCCAAAATTGGGTCGGCAGTTCAACGACGGTTATAAAATAAAATATAAAAAATCCATGATACCACAAAAAATATTAAATTTTTAAATATTTAAATATTTATATTATAACGATTTTTATAAGCAGAAATTTCTTTTTTGTCTTTCCAGTTTTATTGAAGCATTTCTTGATTNACCAACAGTACAAAAGGACGGCAGACTTACAAATTTTTTAAGGATCCAAAAACTACAAGAATAAAGGCAAACTTTTATATTAATCAGTTCTTAACCGGCCACGGCGTGTTTGGCACACACCAAGCAAGATTTTTCGGGAAATCTTCAACATGTACTTATTGCAACTCACAACAAGACATCCATCACCTAATTTTTCAATGTCCTAAATTTCAAACACGACGAGGCAACAATTTTCATAACAAAACAGAACACAGATTTGCCTGACCTGCAGATCAATCATCAAAGACATTATCAAAACAACTTTGGAAGATACATTAAACCCACTGTAAATTTTTACTAACTCTGGCCGTCCTACTACCGTACGGATCAGCGTTTCCATTTCTCCTGAGTCAACTCTAATTTTCTCGCTTTAATTACCTAATCACCGGAGACTCTGGCTCAGCGATTTTGATTCTCAGCCAAAATGACTATTCTTTAAACTGGACTTTTAGTGACTTTAAAATTTTTTTAAATCTCTTTGTGTTCTTGGGTTGGATTTGAACTGTCCTCGTCAATCACACCATTTTAATCCATTTTTACTATTTCAACACTATTTTTGGTGATTTTACTATTTGCAACTCGTTCAATTGTTTCCTTAATAGGCAATTTGCCCTATGAATAGTTTTTAAATTTTATGCCATTTGATTGCCTCAATATAAAGGTCTGTTGACCTAGAATGGCAATTTATATTTTAATTTGCTTCTAGTTTTGCTGGTGTTTTAAATTAAACTGTGCTTTTAATCCATACTTTAGGTTCTGTTGACCTGGACTTTTCATGACATACATGCCAGATATATTTATATATTTGTCATGTTTTCTTAAAGATATAATATTCTGACTAATTGTAGATAGCTAATTTTGTTATAAAGTTTACGGGCTACTGTTTTTACTTGGTTTTAATAAACATTTACCCGTATGCCCTGAATTGGATATATATTCATGTGTGTGCGTGTGTGTTATTAAAAGAATATATGGGAATTAGTTCCTAACTACAACTCCATAGAGAATGGAAGAAATGTTTTTACCCTTATTTGCCCCTCTCGCCACTATGGTCTTTCTTGTTCTGATTTACTTTTTTCTCTCTCTGCTACTGATGTTGTTTTTCTAGCGTTGTTTCTCACCTTTATTTTGATTCATTTTTCATTGGCAACTTTGTTTTTTAAATTCATAAATCACTTTTAAACTCTATAATACTTTTATTCACCTTCACATCTGGCAAGTCTGCAAAACGGGTGCCTGTTTGTGAGTTCTTGAATAATAGTCTGTTTTATTCAGTAACAACTATTATTTCCAATTTGTAAATTTTTAAAGAGAATGAAGTTTTTAATCAAGTAACTGTTGTAGCATTATCATTCATGCATAATGCTGCATTTGTCACTGAAATATAAACTAAGAAGCTATCCTATGAGACGCATTGAGTTAAGATAAAGTTAGCCATTAATTTCAATGCAGAATAAAGGGAAGTGTGGCTGAAGAGTTTAATCTATCTTTAGTCTAAACCCTAATCACGTCCTTTAT